TGACTGACTGACTGACTGACTGACTGACTGACTGACTGACTGACTGACTGACTGACTGACGGACTGACTCGCTCCCTTCCTCCCTAACTCCCTCACTCACTCACTCGCTGATAAACATGTGATTTAAACATTGCGTGCAACCATCAAGAGATTAAACCGCTTACGTAGCACAAACATCTTGAAGAATAAGCGACGATCATTGTGCTTAACAGAACGCAAGCGCGACGCGCATCAGCGCGTATTACTGAACGGTAATCTGTAGATGGTGCGTGCCTTTTTGCAAATCCATTTGGAAGAAAAGATTTCATTGCGGACTAGGACAGGGCTACTGCAGGCAACTTCAGAATTCATTATGTCTGGGGAAACAAAAAAATCGTCCAACAGAAACGTCTGTGGAATGCTTCACAAAAATCTACGCTGCGAGCATGACTAGAAAGTTGCTTTATTCGATTAAGTTTGTTTTATTACGTTTATTCTATCAAGTTATGTCTATTCTAGGTTAGACGGAAAAATAGTAACAATCAATAGGGCTCTCACTTAGCAATTGTGCACACGTGTCTTTCTGACTTGAGCCTGGGTCTTGAAGCTCCTTGCTAACCGAATGTCTATCTGTGATCATGCAGATATTTGCCTTCTTGTCTTTACTGGTTATGTTCCTGTTTATCGAACAGTCTGCGCTATGATACACCTCTTTAAGCATTCAGAAAAAGATGTTATACTTCCAATTCCAAATTTAGACGTGGTAATTTTTCGACATTCACGACAACATATGTAAACAGCCATGAAAATGATGACGAATATGGTCTTTGCAATTATGATGTTACACTTTCACTGGTAACTATCAAGCAATGTTTGTTTTTGCATAAAGAACGTATAGACGATACTTCTGAACAGGAATGGTAGATGCATCTTATTACCTGTAATGTCATGGACTGCCTCGGAAAGTAGAGAGATACCACATTACGTTACAAGAAATTCCTCGGACATAGACATGGACAGACTTCTAAAATAACTTGCAATTCGTTCTGACTGTACAACCTACCAAAATTGGTGAATCATTTCATAATTTGCTAATTGTGGCAAGCTTGTGAGTTTTTAATGGAACCATAACAATAGCAAAATACGACGCAGCTGATACAGCTTTTTACATGTGTTAAAAATACTCCCTATGTGTATTCCTATTTAAAATAAGCGATTAATTTCACTAACAACTATTATCTCCACACTATTATGATTGATAACCAATTATAAGAAACTGATCTCAAACTCTGGTATGTTGTTTCTCCAAAGTTTTACTGCATCAGCAGTGATTTTAAGACATCAGTCACGACTCTTTATTAAGTAGACAATATGACGAAAAATATTTTGATTATATATAGAGCTTTCCAAAATATTAGGGAAACGCACAAAAAAACGAAATCAGATCCGATCCGTAAAGGAAATTAATCACGAATACTGAAGCAGGAATCAAATTCCAATAATTGGGAATACACCATTTGGAGTTATGGAAGCAAAATGAAGGACATTCTTCAGGACAAGGAGAGAATCCTGACCAATATAAAGGACTTCTACATAAAACTGTACTATGAAGAAAACTACAAAACCTTAAACGGTGAAAAATAAACATGAGGAAACAAAAAAAGCGGATCGAATTTCAACCTTCCTGGCTTAGAAGTCATATGTTAAAAGTACATGAAGAACGAAAGAACCTGTGAAGACGGTTTTATAGTGCGACTGATGGGATCAGGAGGTGAAGCACTGAACAGTTAAAGCGTTCTTTAAGACAATGCGTGGAAAAGAAAAAGTCGCATGCAAACGGATCACAGTATCATCAGTTCTAGTATTCAAAAAGCTGATTATTAAATACCCAAATCTATTATATGAAAATATGATAAAGAAACCTTGAAGAACTGCGAACTTTTAAAAGCGTTAGAACGGGAGGATTACGGACGAAAGTTCTGAAAATTTATGCTGAATATCATGGAGTAGAAATATGTAGGAACCAACATGTAGAAAGTTTCAAAACGGATTTCAGGTGATGCAGAAAACATACAGAAGACTACGTTCTGCCCAGAAACAAATCAACCGCATAGAACCCATTTACATCGATGTCGTCCATGTTGTCTGACGCACTACAACCGTTAAAAGATTAGCCTCAAATCGGCAAACAATTCGATTTCGTGGCACAAATAGGATGCCCTTAATGCGATGCCGCTAATGTGGAATCACGTGGCCGACCTGTTCATCTCATCTGTTCAGCATGGCGCTGAAAGGGAGTTAGTTGCGCGGTGCTAAGCCGCGGCCGCTGCTGTAGCCGCCCAAAACTCGGACAGCTGTCACTCTGTCAGTGGTGGACTCAGCTTGTGCTGCCATATGTCCCACCGCGTGTGCATATTGCGATGGCGTGGCGTCGCCGGAGAGATCAGACCTTTGAGTGAGTTTTGATCGCATAAGGCGAGGATGGGAACTGGCCAGGAATGATCGTTTATCTGATGACCACTGAAGGCAGTCCTCGAATGCCCACAAGCAAGCCAGCCTACGCACAGAGGTTAACAGAAGTGATGCTTGCGCCCCGGTGTGCATATTAACAATAATCACAATGAACACCTGTGCGACCTGCCACACGCCGTTTCGGTTCGATGCTGCCAGCAGCGTCAGCAATACAAATAGCCACCAATGCCAGCAGTGTGTAATTAAACAATTTCACGGAATATTAATTTCTTGAACAGTGCCATGCAAACAAGAAACTGAGCCGGTCGATCAGAAGGCGGCGCGCGAGTCTTACCGTATTGGCATCTGGAACCTTGGAAGCCGGGCGTGCAGTCGCACAACTTTGTCCTGTTTCCTTTGGCCACGCAGGTACCGCCGTTGTAGCACAAGGAAGCCGTACAATTGGCTAAAAATAAAGCTGAAAGTAAACAAGAAGCTTTTCGCGAAGTTTGACATTGCAACAGCAAAACTCGCGGACACGAAACCGAAACCGGTCTCTTCGCTGTGCTGCCACAGTAGCAGACAGAAAAGATCGTTTTAAAGCTACGGGTACGTGAATGCAA